TGCTGACTCTTGCCATTGGACCCCCTCTTCACATTTGGGACTGCAGAGTGGCTGAAAATAAGGCAGACATGTTTCTTCAGACCAGTGAAGGAAGTGTAGATTAGGTTTTTTACCTCAGTGCCACCTTTCTTCACTCTTACTCCTCTGTAAGGTTAAAAAGTAACATACGGCTGACCCTCGCCCTGACCACTCTGGAAAATGCAGGGAGCAAGCATGTGGGCATAGTCTGAACTATTGTCCCTCTTTAGTCTCTTTGTTATGGGTTGGGGATTGAAGCAGTGTCTTGCTATGTAGTGCAGGCTGGCTGTAAACTCACTTTGTAGCCCAGGGTAGCCTTGAATTCATGGTGACACTCCTGCCTCAGCCTCCTAGGTGCTGGGATTACAGGTGTGCACTGCCACACCCAGCTGTTTTTACATTTTTTGATGTGAGAATCCAAGACCTTCATTCTCTTCTTGCTCTCATCTTTTATAGAAGTTCAGTTCTGCAAGCAAGTACGCTGCTCTCTCCATGGATGGTGAAGATGAAAACGAGGGAGAAGACTACACTGAATAGACCTCCACATCTTGTGCTTTCTCCTAGTCTTTCTCCACCCTGGAACATTCGAGAGCAAATCAAACCTCTATCCAGTCAAGGCAAAATAAAACTCACCATCTCCTGGAGACCTTTCTTAACTTTTTTTTAAGAAATGAAATTCTTTTGCATGCTGCTGCAGCCTTTAAAGTATTGAAATAACCGGAGAATCGCCAATATAGCCAGAGAGACAGAGACTACAGCTTTTTATGGCAAAGTTGTGGTGTATTCTTAGGATGCCATGCAGTTGCCTGTGTGATTCATGCCTAGGGGCCTCCATTAGCAGAAATGATAATGGCAGTGATATGATGTCTGGAGTGGTTAAGCAGTAGGGGAGGGATAAGGAACAGTGAGATTTCTACCTTTTCATTCTTACCGTGTTGTGGCATATATGAATTCTCAAGCATTATCTGAATAAATTTTCCATCCTTGGAAAGGTAGATTTACTCTTTCAAATTGTTTGTCTCCAGGAGGCTGCCAGCCCTTCCTCTTACTTTAATTCTGAGTTGTTGGGGCCAGCCTAGGGGAAATTACTTTATTTGTTACCCCCCAGGGGGGTAGTTGGGAGTGTGTCTGCAGGCCACTGAAGAATATGATTGCTTGGGGACCAAAATAATGGGGAAATTGTGCTTCGAAAAGCGCTTTGGGGAGGTGACGGGATTGCTTTGCACGAGGTAGTAGGAGAAATGGTACGACCTCCAGTAAGCACATGAGTGGTTACTTCCTGGTGTGGGAAGCACTTAGCAGTCACAGGAATTCCCAGTCTTGTGTCCTGGTTTTGTCCTTTCTCTTACCCTTTATGAAAGTTGAAATATATTCACATTCTTTTGCAACCTTGAAGCTTTAACAGATTCAGACTCTTGGGGCTGGCCGTGCTGGTGCACACCTGTAATCCCAGCACTTGGGAGGCTAAGGCAGGAGGACTGCTGCAAGTGCAGGGCCGGCCTGGACTACAAAGTGAGTTCGAGGCTAGTCTGAACTATATAGTAGTAAGACCCTGTCTCAAGAAAAAGAAATTTTTTTTAGACTCTTACCATCTCATGTTCTTCATGCTACCCTCACCTCCCAAAGACTAGAGAAGTCATAGGTGTGACCTCTTAGGCATTTTATCTCAGCCACTGGATGCTGTGACACGAAGAATCACTGCTTTTTTCAAATAAGTCAGCTCTTTGATGTCTTTTAATTCATTCCTTCCCTCCATCCATGCCTGCTCCTACTGCTCTGACCCCTTTTTTAGATCAGAATACTCTAGGTTGATCTTCGGTGATGAATAAGTGGATAAATAGGGACAGTTACATTGGAAGTTTTTCTTACAACCTTGATTTGGGGAGTTGGGGGTTATTTTGTTTTTTACAAGTTTTCACTGAAATCCCACACCAGTGCTTCGATTTATAATGTGGCCTAGATCAGTGTGTGGCTTTGAGCTTGGGGAGAGGGTGTGCTTTTTAGCTTCTCAAGAGAATAAATGATAATAAAGGAAAGAACTATTTTATAAGGCCCTGGTTTCTCTTGCAGTGCAACAGCTTGCTTTTATGTGCACCTTTGTTGGTAGTCAGCTTGGTAGATGGGATTTTTTTCCCCAGTGTGAGCAGTACTGGTGCGGCTGATAGATATTAGGTCTCTTTATTTGCAAGCCCTTCTCCCATTGGTCCTAGGTTAGAGCCTCTCCGGCCCTCCAGGGGGTGTGTGCGCATGAGCTGCAGCAGTGGGCATAATGAGCCATTTATCCAGTGGACAAAGGTGTACCCAGTGAATTCCCCTTAATTGGTGGGTTGGCTAGTAACTAGGAAGTGGGCTTTTAGATAGAACCAGAGTTGAACGGGTTTGCTTTTTAAACCATTGGTTGTAGATAATGAAAAGGTATAGTTTGCCCTCTTCATGTCTGCTGTCCTTCCAAATAGTTGCATCCAAAAAAGCTGTTTTGTCCCACCCCCTTCCTTGCCCCCACTGAATAGAAACAGGGATTGGTTTATGTCCCACTCCTGGATACATGTAAAATTTGTACAAAAATATCTTCTATGAAAATGATTTGTAATCTGTAGACTTATTACCTGGGAGATGTCTTGAGATGTAAAATCCCATCCTTTGGGTTGTGGGTTTTTTTGTTTTCTCCAAATAAATCTGATGTTTAAAACTCATTTTAATTAATGCTGAAATTCTTTTTGGACATACTCCACACTCCAGTGTGTTTTATTTGACCAGCTTCCTCTTCCCATCAGATAGCGCACTCCACATTGGATGTGATCTATGCAAAGGTGGAGCTACAGGAGGAATCCAGTGCTTCTAAGCCCAAAAACCGGGTGGGAATCATCCAGCTCCCTCGCCAGCATGTTTGGCCTGGGCTGACTTGCCTCCTGCATACGCCTGGAGTCCTATATGCTTAGTGATAAGATGAGCAGAACGCTGGCCTGGTGCCTCAGCCCCCATCCTGGCTTAATGCATGAGGCTGTTAACTCCACGCTGGTCACCAGGACAGAGGCTGTGAGTCATACCTCAGGCTTAAGGGGAGTCTTCTAAACAGCTAAGCACAGATTGGTCATTGTTGCAAGGCAGGAAAGGGGTTAGGACAGTGGCAGAGGATCCCTGAGGTGCTGCGAGGAAGTGGAGGACAAAAAGATGTCCATGATACCACAATTTGGGGACACTGAGCCAAGGAGGGGCTTTTGTGAGCAGAGGCGGGAATAGTGACAGGCCTCTCCTGCCGATTAAAGCAGCTGCTTTCCTAGTTTTTAGCAAGTCCATTGATCCTGGAATTGGCAGAGCTGAGCGGTCAGAGGCTCAGTGACTTGGGATATGGGAGGCTTAGTGTGTTGCTAAGTTGAAGGAAAAGAGCCTCCTGCTGCCCAAGCATCTGTAGCGGCGCAAGACAATGCTTGCTATAGCTCCACCGCAGGAGCTGGTCTGGGGCTCAATTGCATCCTCCAGCTTTCCTTTCAGAGCCCCTCATTGGTGGTGGAAGACAAATTGGGAAAGGTTTTTTGCAAGCAGCTTATGTTTGGTGCGCAGAAAGGGCGGGCAGGAAGAAACTTCCCTACTGTGTCCCCAGACAGTGCTCAAAAATCTGGGAAAAGCTAGGCTCTGGCATGGCTGAGTGCTCAGCCAAGAGCACGTGTGGACATTGCGTCCAGCCCAGCTGCAGGAAGGGCTGGGTGGTCCCCTTCGCTGCCAGCCTCCTGCAAACCTGGGGCTACCAACATGGGGGCAGAGTCCAGGTGGGGTAGCTGTCTCGTGTACTCCAGGCCGCATGGCCTGGCTTAGCAGAATCAAGCTCTGCTGTGGATCCCAAGCCAGTGAGGGTCCCAGTTCATGCTCAGGGCGTCACCTCAAGTGCTGCACAAGCTCACATCTGGTTTCTCAGGAAGTGAGAGCTACACATCTGCTCTTGGGAAGCAGTATTTGTCAAATAAGCCTTGTTTCTCAGCAACCATTGTAGCCCCCCAGGGCCACAAGTAGAGGGGGATTTGCCTTTCCTCACCCCGCCTCCCCAAAACGCTTGGAAGAAACTGCTGCTCCTCACCCAGCAGCAGCAGCAACCTTCTGGTTGGACAATACGCCCTCTGTCCTCAGCCAGGGGATCCGCCTCTGGAGTCAGCTCTGCCCCTTCCCCCGCTCTTCCTGGTTTCCAGTGCCCAAACCCTCCACGAAGCTCTGACCCAGTGCTCTTCCAGCCAGCGCGGCCCCATACCCTGGAAGCCCCTCCTGCGGTCCTTTGCACCCGCGACCTGAGTGCACTGTGTCAGGCATGGGATCGCCCCAAGCCATGGAAGAAGGGGTTCAGCTTTTGGTCCCAAGATGGGCCTCCCTCTGCATAGTCAAGGTAAGAAAACCTGCATGGAGGAAGGTCAGAGGGTGTCCTGAAATTTGGCTTCACCTTTTTATCAACAGTGGCTTGGCTCTTTCCCCTTCCTTCCCCTTCTGATGTTCTTGCTGCTCTGAGCTGATAATTGAGATGCCTGGTTCGCTCCAAGAACCCCTATTTATATTCCACCCCACTGAGCTGCTTCCTGTATAATCTCTCCATCTTTCTCATCAGGTTCCTGCAGAATTCTTCCCCTCAGCGCCCACACTGAGGGTGGAAATTAAACCTGAGCTGGGAGCTCAGCTGTCCATTTCGTGACCCACTTCCTATGCCTTCCAATTTTGATTGGTGAATTGAGACTATTCACATTGATGGTTATAACTGATACTGACTTAACCTTCTCATCATTTTCCTCAAAAGTTCCTCTTGCTGGCTGGCCAGGCAGAGCCGCAACAGCAGCAGGAGCATGCAGTTCTAACCCTGACCTCCTCTCCGGTCCAATCAAGTCCCTCTGTGCCTTTCGATTAGAACCTACTTCCATGGCACGCATCCCAGGACCCAACCACAGCCCCGAGGGATCCTGGGAAGGGCTAGGTGTTAAGACAGCCAGCTGCAGGCTCCAAAGAAATGAACAAATTTCCACATCTCGTGTAATTTGATTACATAATCAAATCTTGCCAAAATACACACAACGACCTTCAGCCTTGCCCTTTCCCAGTAGCCTCCAAGCCCGCCACCCTCCTCTGGCTCTAACTCCCGCCTCTCCGGGCACCTCCCTCCCAGCGCCTTCTCAGATCCTGTCTGATCCCGTCTTGCAGCCCCCAGGGACTCCCACTGCTCCAGCCTCTGAAACTGCCTACAGAGCACTAACTCTTCCCATCCCCACCACATCCATCCCCTCTCAGCGCCAGTCTGGGGGGGGGGGGTAGGGGGTGGGATCCACACTGTCACCATGCCTTGCTTCACAGCCTCTTCCCTACAGCCACACTGGAATCCGGTACTCCACCCCCTTGTAATCAGAACCAGACTTCCCAGCCTTTGCTAAGAAGAGCACAGAAGGGATTCAGTGAGATGAGACAAGGAGGCCCACAGGGCCTTGCAGCCAGCAGTGCTGGCGGCTTTGGGGCAGGTACTGGGCATGGAGCCCTGGGCACGGCCTCACAAAATCCCCCCCACCTCCCATTTTCATCATGGAAACCGCAGTGGGGAGGGTAACATCGGGAGAGATTCCGGAAATGCTCACTGCTCTGCGGGGGCATGGCTCAGAGTGGCAGAGCACTTGCCTAGCATGGGCAAAGCCCTGGGTTCAATCCCCATTACTGCAAAATAAAGTAAAATAAAAATTTTAAAATGCTGCTAAAGAAAGCTGAGAAATCAGGAATAGCAACAGGGTCAGAGCTTGTAAGACATCCAGAGTAGCACAAACCAGAGCCGCGGCGCATCAGCTCAATTCCAGAAGTTCCTATCCAGTGCCAGATGCAGACAGGCAAAAGAGGGACACGAGGCTAAATCATTCAAGAAGAACTTCCATCGGGAAGTCTGGCACTTGAGTTAAAAGTAAGACCTTAGCGATGGCCCGACTCCACACCCGGCCACGGGGAGAGAGGGATTACTGGAGCTGCTCTCGGGCTGGGGTGAGGGCTTGAACCTGCTGTGCATCCGCGGGTGAGTCCTCTTGGGAGAAGACAGGGCACAAAAATCTCCCGTGGGGCAGAGGGAGGAGCACGAGCCGTGTTCAAAGACTTCGAACCACCAGGTGTCTTCACCTGCTTTTGGCGCCCCCGCCAGGCCGGGCCGGGTCTCACAGACACTCCGGAGGGGCTGCAGGGACAGGCTGAGGCTTCCGGGCCGTTTTCCGTTTCTCTTCGGTCCTCCTTTCCTTCTGGTCTTGCTCGCTAGTTTCTTCTCGCCTATGCGCCGCCGGCCCGTCTTTCCTCGACTGTTGATCCCCATCTCCGGCGTTCCCCTTTCCGACGTTTTCCCATCTCGTGTGCCCCGGGCCCGCCTCTCTCCAAATCTCTGCCCAGCTCTGTTCTCTGGCCGTGAGGTTCTGCCTGACTTAACGGCCTCTGCCAGTCTGCGCGCTCTCTTCCTCCCAGCCCTTGGCGAGCGCAGCTTCGCGGGAGAAGGTGGGGAGGAGAAGAGGGAGAAAGGAGGCGGCCGGGGGCGGGGAACGGCGGAACGTGGGGATTGGAGCCGCGGAAGGAGGGAGCCGCGAGGGCGGGCGGAGGCGACGG